TGTTGGCCTTGGGACATGGCTGCCTGGGGACTCTCCCTCCTTTAGATGCTGCCCTTGGGCCTGTGGCCTGATGCCTGGCCCTGCCCTCTCTGCTGAGTGTGTTATCAGTACCTTCCAGCCTCAGGTGAGCTGTTGAGGGGCACAGTGACTCTCCTGCTCAAGCAGGGACAGTGGCACCCACATCACATAAAGGTGGGGCACTGGAGAGTCATCTAGTAGAGCAGTTAAATGATCTGGACTGCCCGGTTTTGACTCCCAGCAAAGGCTCTTACCAAATGTGGGACTCTGAGCAGATTACTTGACCTGTGTGTGCATCATCTGTAAAGTGGGCTGATAACAGCATCTCCTCCTGGTGTCCCTGTGCAGATTCACTGGGTTTGTGTCTATAGAGCACTGGGGATAGCAAAGGCCTCCTGCTGGTATTATGGATAAAATGCAGCTTGATCAAGTGCATCTTCACTTGGGTGTGTGGTTCTTTCTCCTTCTTCCTTAAACAACTTGGCTCAGTCCTCCTGATAACCCTTGGGGTCTGGAAAGAAAAAGGTAGTAAGATCTTTTGAAGATGCATTTTGCTGAATCTGAGTTTTGGGACTGTCTATTGTTGTATGGTTCAGAAGGTGTTGGTTCCAGGGAACCCACAGTTTGGGGCCTGTGGAATATCACTGTGGTTTTCAGCAATCTAGTCCAGGTGAGTTCCTGGCTGGATGAAGATGGGGAGAGGGTGGGGCTAGGTAGTGACCCCACCCAGGTGTCTGTGTGAAGTGTCCTAATTTTCCATGGGCAGCACAGGGAGGAGCAAATGTGACAAAAATGAGGGAACTCACTTCTTCTTGGAGGGAGGGTTATGTGGAGAGCAGAGGTGTGTGTGTGCTAAAGGAGATGGGTGGGTGGGGCATGAAGGACCTGAAGGACAAGGCCAGCCTGATGGGTGTGTGGCCTGAGGGTTTTTCTGTAAGTACTGGAAAGCCTGCTAGACAAATTCGAAAAGCGCTGTAACACTCCTTTATTTTCTTAATAAACTTCCTTCCACTTTTCTGTCGGCTTGCTCTTGTATATCTTCCTGCGAGAAGCCAGTAATCCATGTGGCCTCCTATGCTGAACCCCAGTTTTGGGACTCATGCTGTGACATAGCCAGAGGCAAAAGTTTCCATGTCCCTTCTGTTCCTCCTTGCATCTGGATGGGATCCGGAGGGCTCTAGGCTTGGCTGCTGTGGCCACCAGATGCGGCTCTATGAGGTCAGCAGGGGTCCTGCCAGCTCCAGATGGACATTCCCTGAGATGCTGTTAGGCCACCTGGACTGGGGCCCCATGTGGCATCCCTGGCATGGACATATAATGCCCAGCAAAGGCATCATCAATGTTCCACTACTCTAGTGCTGGAAGGCAAATCAGATGGCAACTTGTTTGCAGAGAAAGAAACAGACCCAAAGAAGGGTCAAGCAAAGCCAGGACTCAAGGGCTGGTGTTCATACCTCAGATGCTGAGTGGCAGGAGTCCCTTTTTGCTGCCCTTCTCCCAGAGTTCCATAATGAGGTAAGGATGGGTCTCCTTCAGGGCTTGGTAGAGTCGATCTTTGCAGCTCCTGTCCCAGGACTGGCTGAAGCTGAACAGCTTCCGCATCTTGCTTGGCCTGGTGTCCTCGGCCAGCACCCCCTCGTACTGCTCCTGGCTCAGCACATGTCCAAGCAGGTTGTCCAAGACAGGTTCCACTGATGTCACTCGGGCCACCAGCTGCTCTCGATACTGGTCCACGAAGTGCAGCAACCCCAGGGCATCCAGAGGGGAAGGTAAGGCTGGCAATGAACAAAGATGGGCTCTGACCACAGCCTCCACCTCTAATCCCCACATTCCGTGCTTTTCTCTCTCTTTTCTGCATCCCTTGCTTCCTTTTGTCTCCAGAAATGCACCTCTATCTTCCTTCATGTCAGCATCTAGTCCGGCATTCTGCTAGAGTGGGGATTGGAAGTGGGGTTCCTGATGGGGGCACTAGAGGCTCTCAGGTGTGGAGTTCTAGGGCCTCTATGGATAGGACAAGGGGATATGGGGAGGGACCATCCACCGCTCTCCAGAGCCTGACCCCTTGTGAGGTCTGCATTGATGAGTCCCTTCCTTTCTCTCTTCCTTTCCCCCCAGAACCAGACTGCCACTGCCTCCTGTGGTCTCTGAGAGCTGTTACTGACCTTTGGGGGCTGGAGGGACCAGAGTAGTTGCAGGTGTGAGATCTCCTGGAGGAAAACAGAGATGAAGATGCATCTGTAACAGTGCTAAGTTATTAACACACGATACACCTCCAAACTCCCAATCACTTCTGAGATTTTTTTTTTGAGAGAGCCTCGCTCTTCACCTAGGCTGGAGTGCAATGGTGCAATCTCAGCTCACTGCAACCTCTGCTCCCCAAGATTCAAGCGATTCTCCTGCCTCAGCCTCCCAAGTAGCTGGGATTACAGGCATGTGCCACCACGCCTGGCTAATTTTTTGTATTTTCAGTAGAGACGGGATTTCATTATGTTGGCCAGGCTGCTCTTGAACTCCTGAGGTTGTGATCCACCCACCTCAGCCTCCCAAAGTGCTGGGATTACAGGCATGAGCCACTGCACCTGGCTGAGATTCTTTGATTTAGAAGAAGCTACAGACAAATTCTGATAGGATCTGGAGTAAGGGCTGGAAGGGTCCTTAGAGGTTATCTAGGTGAATCCCTTCCTTATGCATATGGGGAGACTGAGGCCCAGAAGTTGTGATCATAGAGTAATAGAGAGAAGGCATCCAAATGAGCAATAGCAATTTCTCCTACAACATCCCAGACTTGGTTTGATCCAGTGTTGGTCTGAACTGTATCCCTGGTGAACTAACCAAACCCCTTGCTAGAACTATTTAGCACCTCCTTGTTCTAGTGGAAATCTACTTCCTTGTTCTTTTTTTTAGCCTTCTAGACTGGCACTGACCAAAGGTGTACGTTCTGGAATTGGATGTCAGAATCTAGAATCAACATCAAGCAATCTTCGGACATGGGAATAACAAATGAATTTTAACAGAAAAAAAGCAGATAACAAAAATGAAGGTCACAGCAGCTCATATGTACAAGGCCTGAGAGTTTGAGCAGGCTCCAAGTTCAGTATGATCTCATGGTGCAGGAGGTGGGTACAGAGGAGGGAGTTCAGGTTGTGATACCAGGAACACCGGATCCATGTGGGTGGAGAAAAGAGGGTGTTTCACATTCTTTCTGCTGCCTGGACAGTCTAGGGGTCAATTCTGACTCATTCCCACACTGGAGCATCTACTGAGAAAGGTGACTGGATGGCAAAGAATTTACAAACTAGCCGGGCACAGTAGCTCATGACTGAAATCCTGGCACTTTGGGAGGCCAAAGTGGGCAGATCACAAGGTCAAGAGTTCAAGACCAGCCTGACCAATATGGTGAAACCCTGTCTCTACTAAAAATAGAAAAAAAAAAAAAAGTTAGCCGGGCGTGGTGGTGCGCACCTGTAGTCCCAGCTACTCAGGAAGCTGAGGCAGGAGAATTGCTTGAACCTGGGAGGCAGAGGTTGCAGTGAGTCGAGATTGTGCCCCTGCACTCCAGTGTGGACAACAGAGGAAGACTGTTGTCTCAAAAAAAATGAATTTACAAATCAAAATGGAAGAGGAATGATGGAAGCAGCTGGAGATGTCTAATTTGTACAACAAGAGTCATCAGGAAGGCTATAACCACAGTCTCCAAGATTCTCAATGGCTTTCTCATGGGGAAGGAAATAGACTTTTTCTGAGTTCCAAGGGACAGAATTAAGACTGATAAGAGGCAGAGATTGGCCTAACATGAGGAAAAAGATAATACTGCTATGATTTGTTGAGGATTACTGCATGAGGCATGCATAGTCATTCCTTTATTTAATCTTTCCAACATTTCTACAAATTAGTCATTATGTTCCTCATTTTACAGAAGAGGGACTCAAATCAATTAAGTAATTTTCCCAAGGTCACCCAGCAAATAAGTGCCAGAGTGGGATTTGAACCCAGGTCTGAAGTTGGGGTAGGCTAGTTCTCCATCGTTGGTTGCACCCAGGCTAGGACTCAGTAACGCCCACCCTCTTTCCACTGCACTGCAAAGCCAGCTTATTGTAGTTCAGAATGGCTTCACCTTTTTTTTCTTTTTTTTCTGAGACGGAGTTTCACTCATGTTACCCAGGCTGGAGTGCAATGGCGCGATCTCGGCTCACCACAACCTCCGCCTCCTGGGTTCAGGCAATTCTCCTGCCTCAGCCTCCTGAGTAGCTGGGATTACAGGCACGCGCCACCATGCCCAGCTAATTTTTTGTACTTTTAGTAGAGATGGGGTTTCACCATGCTGACCAGGATGGTCTCGATCTCTTGACCTCGTGATCCACCCGCCTCGGCCTCCCAAAGTGCTGGGATTACAGGCTTGAGCCACCGCGCCCGGCCGCTTCACCATTTTTTGACAGCTGACTAGGGCTGCTTGTCCTAGAAGGACTGTTTGGGAGTTTGGGTTCTTAGGGTGTTAGTACTAGACTAAGAGTCCATAAGTTTTCTCCATTCCAGAAAATTTATTATTTGATTTCCTCGTCTTCCTTGAAAATACTGAGCGATACAGGGGAGAGTATCTGAAATTGTCAAATCAGCTTAATCCATACAACCATATAAGTATCTAGGTCTTATTCTTTCACCTCACATCCAAGCCATCATGAGAAACTTAGCCAAAAGCTTTGTGGATGTCGACATCTGTTAATTCAAGGGCACTATGAAGACATCATTGCACATGGGAAAGAGCACACATTTTAGAGGGTCAGATGGACTGAAGTTTAAATTCCAGTCATAACAACTGTTATGTAACTTGAGAAAGCCACCTAACTCCTGGGGGCTACTTCTTCTCATCAATAAATTGATAATGCCCACTGACAGACACAAACACACACACACACACACACACACACACACACACACACACACACTCTCTCTCTCTCTCTCTCACTCTCTGTTTCATTGACTTTCTTTCTCCTCCCACCTCTGAGCCCTCTGGACGTGTCCTGGTTTTACCTGGTTTCACCAAGGCCTCCCACACCAAAGTCTCATCTGTCTTGTTTTTCATTTGCAGCCTGATCCCTGATCCCAAGTGGCCAACATAGAACTCGGAGAACAGCTGGGGTTCTCCAGGGCTTCGATAGCAGAGCTCCAGTTCCTGAAGAGGCAAAGAGTTGAGTTGCCACCCTGTTCATCTGGCATGGGAGGCTTTTCCCCACCTGACACCTTCTTGGCCCTGCTTGGCTCCATAGGGACACTCCGGTGATCCCTGTATTGAAATCAATCATCGCCTTCAGACACTGCTCTTTTCCCAATTTTCCACAGAAGGATGAGGACACAACTGGGTACTGCATAGGTGAGTCAGGGCTTGTCCTTAAAAGTAGTGCTCATCATCCTAAGTGAGATCCTCCTTCCTCAACCTACCCCATCTTGAATCCAAACCCTCATTTCTCCAGCCCAAAGCCTATCTACCCCAAAGATCCTAAACTCGACCCACTTTCAATTGACAAACATTTATATCCATCCCCTTTCCTAAATCACACCCAAGACAGAACTCTTGATTCCCCACTGTCTTCCAAATATGCTCCCTTTCCAGTTTCCCCAAACTCAGTAAAGGATAGGCCCATCCCCTGAACATGCAGGCTCCAAACTAGGAATCATTCTTAACTCCTTCCCTACACGGGCAATCCAGGAGGTCCTGTTGGCTCTACCTTCAAAATCAACCTTGAATTCACAAACTTTTCTCCATCTCCCTCGCTACCTTCCTAGTCAAGTGACCTTCAACTATAGCTTGCAGTATTGCAACAGTCTTTTCCTTTTTTTTTTCTTCTCTCTCTCTCCTTTTTTAAAGCGAGATGAGGTTTTTCCATGTTGCCTAGGCTGGACTTGAACTCCTGGGCTCAAGCAATCTCTTGCCTCAGCCTCCTAAGTAGCTGGGACTACAGGTGTGTGCCACCATACCCATCTTATTCTTTCATTTTTCATAGAGATGAGTTCTCCCTACATGGCCCAGGCTGGACTTAAACTCCTGGCCTCAAGCAATTCTCCCACCTTGGCCTCCCAAATGTTGGAATTACAGGTGTGAGTCACTGTACCCAATCACAACAGCCTTTTTTGTTTATTTGTTTTGGAGACAGGGTCTTGGTCTGTGGCCCAAGCTGGAGTGCAGTGGTGTGATCTCAGCTCACTGCAACCTCCGCCTCCTGGGTTCAAGCAATTCTTCTGCCTCAGCCTCCTGAGTAGCTGGGTTTACAGGTGCCTGCCACCATGCCTAGCTAATTTCTGCATTTTTAGTAGAGACTGGGTTTTACCATGTTGGCCAGGCTGGTCTTGAACTCCTGACCTCAGGTGATCTACCCACCTCAGCCTCCCATAGTGCTGGGATTACAGGCGTAAGCCACCATGCCTGGCCTTTTTTCTTTTTTAAGACAGAGTTTCGCTATTGTAGCCCATGCTGCAGTGCAGTGGGGCTCTGCCTCCTGGGCTCAAGCAATTCTCCTGCCTCAGCCTCCTGAGTAGCTGGATAACAGGTGACTGTCACCATGCCCTGCTAATTTTTTGTATTTTAAGTAGAGACGGGGTTTCGCCATGTTAGCCAGGATGGTCTTGACCTCCTGACCTCAGGTGATCCACCCGCCTCAGCCTCCCAAAGTGCTGGGACTACAGGCATGAGCCACCACGCCTGTGTATAACAGCCTTTTGACTTGTCTCTCTCCTTTCACTCTTGCCTGCCTACTTATCCTTCATTCTCACCCAGCAGCCAGAGGCATCTGTATGAAAGCAAACCAGGTCTCATTTTTTTTTTCTTTTTTTTGAACAGTCTTGCTCTGTCACCTAGGCTGGAGTGCAGTGGTGAAATCTCGGCTCACTGCAACCTCTGCCTCCCAGGTTCAAGTGATTCTCCTTCCTCAGCCAACTTAGTAGCTGGCATTACAGGGACATCACTACACTCAGCTAATTTTTGTACTTTTAGTAGAGACAGGATTTCACCATGTTGGCCAGGCTGGTTTTGAATTCCTGACCTCAAGTGATCCTCCCATCTTGGTACCCAAAGTGCTGGGATTACAGGCCTGAGCCATTGTGCTTGGCTATAAATCAGGTCTTGTTTTACCATGTTTACAAGCCACAAGAACTTGCCATTGCACTTAGAACAAAGTCCAAACTGCACACCAGGGCCAACAGGGCAGATGAGGCCTGGGAAGATTCTGCCTCTGATCTGACTCATCTCTTGCTATACTGACCTCTTTTTTGTCATCTGGAGGTGTCAAGCTTGCTCCCAACTCTATGCCTCTCACACATTCCTTCTGCCTGAAATACTCTTCCACAAATCTCTATGTGGCCTGAACCAACAGCCAATCTAAAGAAAATCTTTGTTTCCTTAGATCTTCCTCCAACGTATGCAACCAAGGCCCAAATCCTATAGCAGATGATAACACCCTCTACTGAGACATCTCATGGTTCCCCTAATATGTGTTCTGTCACTGCAATGAGTAATAAACACAGTGTGTTCAACTACAGGTGTGTCCCTGGTGGTCTTGACTGGAGGACATTGACGACCTATAGCCCAAACACTTCCCAGTGACCCCAAGTCAAACCCCATCATCTTCTTATCCTGCATGTGATCCTCCCTTCTCTGAACTTTCTTTCAGTCTTGGAAGCATTCCCACTTTCCCTAAATCACACTCACTTTCTGTTCAACCTCAATTTATCCTGTCCCTGGGAAAGCCCTGAGACCTGCCCCACAGGCATTCCAAGTAGGACTTACGTTCACAGTGAAGAGGCAGACACTGGGCTGCTCACCTCGGGGATTATTTCCAGCTCCTCTGAACCAGACACAGCATAACGAGAGCCCATATAAAGTGGGGTCAGCGGGGGTGGCTTGTGTAGTCGCACAAACTGGAACTTCGTTTCTTCATCATCTACGGCCTACAGAACATAGGGAAAAATGATTAGGGGAGGCTTCTGCCCAGTGAAATGTTGTCTGAATAGGTGGGATGGTGCATCGGTGTATTTGGGTGGACAGAGTGGGGCTCTATCAGCCCTGCCTCCCTCCCCACATGCACTGCTACCGAGACAGCCCGCACTTGCTCTTTGTTATCTTCAGGATGGGAATACGGCTGTTAGAGAAGTTAGAATGGGGAAAGGTTTAGGCATGGAGGCCTCCAATCCTTTGATTCCTGGAGAGGGGCTGCAAGAAACCGTCCAAAGTTCTGGGGGAGACCTCGGGGAGGCAGGAGACCAGTCCATGACTGAGAAGGGATGGACTGTTCACCCACTTCAAGGTTCTCATGTACAAGAGGCCTATCCTTAGTCCCAGTTGAAGATGCTCTAGGGGGCTCTCTGGCTGCATTTTGTGTTTAGCATCAACCCACCATGGCCCAGCCTTTCTGGTTCTTAGTGTCACCTTCCGAATGGAGCCGTCACTTGGGATCAGGTACAGGTGGAAGGTGACTTCCTCAGGATGATGGATGCGGTGGTAGAGCAGCACCATCGAGGTGACGGGAAAGATGCGCAGGGCATTATGGATCACTCTTAGGAGGACTCCCATGGGGGAGAAGCTGGGGTCTTCCAGAACTATGTGATGCAGCTCCACCTTGGCTGGCTTCTCCAGGAGCATCCCCTCCTCTTTAAAGTGGGCTACTTGGAACAGGGATGTATCAATGTGGCCCCCTGTCAAAGAATGGATTCAAGAGGCACAGGTGTATTTTTATTGATATTTTTTTGAGACAGTTTCTTGTCACCAAGGCTGGAGTGCAACGGCATGATCTCGATTCACTATAACCTCTGCTTCCCGGGTTCAAGTGATTCTCCTGCCTTAGCCTTCTAAGTAGCTGGCACTACAGGTGCCTGCCGCCATGCCCAGCTAATTTTTGTAGTTTTAATAGAGATGAGGTTTCACTATGTTGGCCAGGTTGGTCGCGAACTCCCGACCTCAGGTGATCCACCTGCCTCAGCCTCCCAAAGTGCTGGGATTACAGGTGTAAGCTACCACGCCCATTCCAAGAGACACAGATTTAGTGTTGTCACTGAGTCACGATTTGCTGGCACCACAGGATCCCAGGGCTTAGGCTCAGGTACCTTCTTGGGGGAGCCCAGTGCTATGGTCTTGAATATCTGTGTCCCTCTACAATCCATATGTTGAAATTCTAACCCCCAAGGTGATGGTATTAAGAGGTGAAGCTTTTATGGGAGGTGATTAGGTCATGGGGGTGGAATTCTCATGATTGTGATTAGTGCCCTTATAAAAGAGACTCATGGGAGCTTGCTTGCCCCTTCCACCCTGTGAGGACACAGCTAGAAGACTCCATCTATGAGGAAGAGGGCCTTCACCAATACTGAATCTGCAGGTGCCTTGATCTTGGACTTACCAGGCTCCAGATCTGTGAGAAACAAATTTCTGTTATTTATAAGCTACCTAGCTTATGGTATTTCATTACAGCAGCCTGAACAGATTAGAACACCCAGCATGGGGAAGAATATTTCTAGGGCTGGGGTGTTTGGAGGCTGCGGGAGATTCTACCAGTATGTGGGAGCACTGAGGAGCGCTGAGCTTCTAAGAGGGAGCTCAAAGAATACCCTGACCCAAGCTTGTACACAAGCCCAACCCCTGGCCCGGAAGCTGAGAAAGATATCGAACCTTTGGTTGCCTGTGCTGGTATGGATTTGCTATGAGAGACCACTGGGTGATGCTGGCAGGTTTGACTCTAGGCAGGTAAAGAACAAGAAGGAGGAAGGGGCAGTGGGAAAATGGAATGACCAGGAATAGCCTATATTGGTCAGGTGTTTGGCCTCCCACCATTCAAACTCTTACTTTTAGGAAGAGCTTCCTCATCCTAGCACTGTGTGGGTCTTGGCAGGAGGCAAGCTGAGCCTCCCACTCAGGAAGCTGCTACTCCTTGGCAGTAATGGCACAGGTGTTTGGCTATAACTCGACTAAGTGGCTGTCCCTAACTGGGACCTCAAGTCTACAGGGGTGAAACATAGATGAAGATATAGTAATAGATTGCTTCTATTTATTTTTCAGCTAACCAGTGTGCAGGCAGCAAGAATTTCTGGAAGGGGCCCTGACTGGCCCCAGGGATTGGTTTCCTGGCTGGGCATGAGCATGGCCAGCTAAAAGCGGCCTCTGTGCATTCTGCCTCTTGTTCTGTGGCAGGGGTGTCCAGTCTTTTGGCTTCCCTGGGCCACATTGGAAGAAGAAGATTGTCTTGGACCACACACATAAAATACACTAATACTAATGATAGCTGATAAGCTTTAAAATATTTGCAAGAAAGTCTCATAATGTTTTAAGAAAGTTTACAAATTCACGTTGGGCTGCATTAAAAGCCATCCTGGGCTGCATGTGGCCCACAA